GGAGGAAATCGCAGGCTGGCACGTTTGCGATCCGACGTTGCAAACTGGGGGCGAGTTAGGCACCCTCTGTCGCCTTTCCTCCAGCGATAACAGCGCTATTAAAGATGCCCACGTGGCAACTCTGCCAAAGTTTGTTGTTGTTTTTTTTAATGATATTTATTAAAGTTTCACAAAAAAAGAGTCACATCAACAAAAAAAGAAAAATTCAAGAATAAAAAGAAAAATACACAATGCAGAATACAAAAAGAAAAAACAGTTAAAAACAATTCCCTCTTTTCATCACTACTTTTACATTTACTTGTTTCCCGGACCTCCTCATACCTCCCTCTTTTGTATTCCAATTCAGTTTGTTAGTCCAGCAATTCCTTTCCCTCCTTTTTAATCCCAATCCTTAATCTTAATATAGTATAACATTAAATTTTTACCTATTAAAAACCAATTTTTCCATTCTTTTAACCTTTTTAATCCTAATCCTTAATCTTGATATATTTATAACTTTAAAGCCTGTACAGCTAGAAGCCACTTAATTTCAATCCAACATCACTCTAACATTCATTAATTTTGCAATATTTCTGTAAATAATCTTTGAATTTCTTCCAATCTTCTTCCACCGACTCTTCTCCCTGGTCACGGGCAACTCTGCCAAAGTTTGCTTTTCAAGTTAAGGCCCATTGACTTCAACAGGAGTCACTTCCAAGTTATGGCAGCGAAAGCAGCTGTGGGCAAGTTTTGCCCCGTGGGGTTTTAAAGGCAGCATGCAAGGTTTTGCTGCCTTCTTCTTATTATTTATTATTATTAACATGCTACTGAAACTGCATTTCTATATATTGGCCCCTGAGTGGTTTACCATTGCATTAAACATATAATCAGAAAAGTATATATAGTATAAATCAGCTGCATGCAAGCAAATAGAAGATAAAACAGGCAACAGCTGAGAATGCTGGCCACTTTAAGATAATCTCGAGATTCTCAACAGTGTATATAAGTTTTGATGGATGTAATAATGGAATACTGAATGGTATCGTTTCTGTAAAATATGCAGGTAAAGTAAAATGAACCATGGAAAGAGAAGAAGGGAAGTCACTGATATTTTAAGGATGTAAAAATGAGTACTTTACATTGTAAAACGGAAAATTTAATAAAAATTATAGACATATAAAAAAAGATAAAACAAGCAAAAATGCCCCCAGCAGCATAAATCAACATGAAACAGCATAAAAACACAAAGGGGTGAGGAATATAAAAAGTACGAAAAATATGCAAATATTGTGCAAAGGCCTGTAAGAATAAAAAGTGTTTTACCTGGTGGTAGGTTACAATGCAAGTATCTTTGAGGGCATTGCAGTGGGTTGCTATTAATCCAAAAGGTCCCCTCAGTAGTAACCCCCCCCCCACCTCACTTCATTGGGTGGGGGAAGATGCAGAACATCACAAGCTCTCAGGGGCAAAGCTTGAGCGGTATTTATGGGAAAAGACAGTCCTTTGAGATAACCTGGCGCAAAATTATTTGGGGCTTTGAAGGTTAACGTCAGCACTTTGAACTGGACACAGAAATGGACCGGAAGTCCTCGCAGACGACAAAAATGTGTGCTGGCGTCCTCTGAACCAGCTGACGGTCCTGGGTTGATTTCAAAGGATGGCACATTGCACTCATCAAAACACATTGACTGGGGGAGGTCATTTAAAGGAGGCAAGTAGTAGCCATCAAAGTTCTCTGCGTTGTTGTTTTTTAAATGACCATAATTAATGAATTATTCCATACAACTAACATAGTGAGGAAACATGCCTTCGAGGGATTCAGCTGATTTAGTCTTCAATGGTTTAGCATTAAAAAAAAGCGGGGCAAACAAGTTCACCGCATGTACTTTGTTAAAAGGAAAATATAATGAAAATGATGTATAGATGGTAGTTGACTCCTGTAAAATTAGCAAAGATATATCATAATTGTGACAATATATGTGGGAAATGTAAAGAAAAGGAAGGAACCTTTTATCATATGTGGTGGACCTGTCCCAAGGTGAAAGACTTCTGGGAAAAGATTTATAATGAATTGAAAAAAATGTTGAAATATACATTTATAAAGAAACCAGAGGCTTTCTTCTTGGAATAACAGGTTTGGAATTGCCCAAGAAATATGTTAAATTATTTTTGTATGCCACAACTGCTGCTTGTATTTTGTTAGCTAAAAAGTGGAAAACCCAAGAATTACCAACAATAGAAGAATGGCAGATGAAGATGATGGAATTTTTGGAGCTAGCCGACCTAACCAGAAGAGTCCACGACCAGAAGGAGGAGGAGCATCAGGAAGAGTGGAATAAATTTAATGATTATTTAGTTAAATTTGTTAAGTTAAATTAACTGAAAATAGCTTGCAGATACTTAATGGGCTTTGGATTTTATTTATGTTAAGTGATGAATTAATATGTTTAATTCCATAAGGTGAAGATCTAAGGATGTTAATGTTTAAGTTAAATTTCATAAAAATTGGGATTTGGAAAACCGTTAAAAGGACATGCAATGAAATTCAACCAAGGGGATGCGAGGAAGCCACTTAACAAAGTTAATAACTGTAATTTTCAATGAGGTTATGATTTATGTTTGTTTGTCTTGTGTGTGCGTTTGTTTGTTTATAATATTGTGAAAACTAATAAAATTTTTGAAAGAAAAAAAGTGGGACAAAGGAAAACTATTCCATTTTCGCATCTTTCATTTCAGGAGCTAAACAGAGTTAGGGGTTTATAAGCCTTTAGCTCGATTCCTGTGTTATAATAATATTGAATGTGTAGCTTTTGCCATTTCAATTATAGTCTGTCCTTTTTCGCCTTTTATTTTTTTTTACACAATATGGGCATGCATGCATTCCTCTTTGGGAAACATTTTCCATTGTGATTTCACTAGATTTTCAAGGCTATGCCATTTACTCAGGTAAGCATTCCACAAAGCCGGCATCTTGTTTAAATTCTCTTATCACATGCGATATTTGCACGCTGGTGAATTCTGAGCCCTACAGAGCTGCTGCTGGCATGCCAACACGGCAGGCATATGGGCCAGCTCAAGCGATAAGACCATTTAAATGACATGACAGCCATAGTTTGGTGGTGCAGCGCATGCCTTGCACGCAAAAGGTCTCCACTTCCATCCCTGGGTGTCCCCAGGCAGGGCTGGGAAAGACTTCGGCCTGAAACCTTGGACAGCCATTTCTTAAGTCAGTGTCAATACAGTGGTGCCCCGCAAGACGAATGCCTCGCAAGACGGAAAACCCACTAGACGAAAGGGTTTTCCCGTTTTTGAGTTGCTTCGCAGGACGAATTTCCCTATGGGCTTGCTTCGCAAGACGAAAATGTCTTGCGAGTCTTGAGATATTTTTTTCGCTTTTCCCCCCTTTTCTAAGCCGCTAAGCCTTTAATAGCCTTTTAGCAGCTAAGCCGCTAAGCCTTTAATAGCCGCTAAACCGCTAATAGTGCTAATCCGCTAAGCCGCTAATAGGGTTGCTTCGCAAGACGAAAAAACCGCTAGACGAAGACACTCGCGGAACGGATTAATTTCGTCTTGCGAGGCACCACTGTAATACTAAATGAATCACTGGACCAAGTTGGCCTAAGGCAAGCTCCCTCTGTCATATAGGCAAATGCTTCACCAGTGGCCAACATGACATGAAATTTGGCCTCAGAATATCTTGATCATAGTTTCTTCATACTGAAAGCTTTGGGAACAGAGTAGTGGTAAATTCACACGACCCATTTGGCACAACAGAATGTAGTTACGGTGTTTTAGCCTTGGATTCAATGTTCAAGGGGTTTGGCAAAGCGCCTTTATATGACTGCAGTTTGTGATGAAGAACACTTGTCACTGGTTCAGTATCTCTATCAACATAAAGCAATGTACAGTGGTACCTCAGGTTAAGAACTTAATTCATTCTGGAGGTCTGTTCTTAACCTGAAGCACCACTTTAGCTAATGGGGCCTCCTGCTGCCGCCAGGTGATTTCTGTTCTCATCCTGAAGCAAAGTTCTTAACCCGAGGTAATATTTCTGGGTTAGCGGAGTCTGTAACCTGAAGCGTATGTAACCCGAGGTACCACTGTCCAGGCTAATTGGGTTTGATATTTTCAGTGCCTTTAGATACAATGTGCCAAGTGGCATCAACAGTACAGTGGACGCTTGGGTTGCGAACATGATCCGTGTGGGAGGCACATTCGCAACCCAGTGTTCACAATCCGCAGCGCCGCATCTGCGCACACGCGTCACAATTCGGCACTTCTGCGCATGCGCACAGAGCGATTTAGCGTTTCTGCGCATGCACGAGCGCCGAAACCCGGAAGTAACCCGTTCCAGTACTTCCGGGTTCGGCACAGTGCACAACCCGAAAACGCGCAACCTGAAGCGTCTGTAACCCAAGGTGTGACTGTAAGTGAAATGAGAAACTATGGGATACATGTCAGCCTAAAGATCTACATTGTCCCCCATTATGTTTCCGAGCACTATTCAAATTGTTGGTGCTGACCTCTAAAGCCCTAAATGGTTTTGGCCCTGTATACTTGAAGAGGCGTCTCCATCCTCATCATTTAGTCCAGACACTGAGGTCCAGCTCCGAGGGCCTTCTGGCGGTTCCCTCACTGCATGATTACAGGGAACCAGACAGAGGGTCGTCTTGGCAATGGTGCCCTCCCCGTGGAACGCCCTCCCATCAGATGTCAAGGACATTAACAACTATCTGAAGGCAGCCCTGTATTGGGAAGTTTTTAATGTTTGGAGTTTTATTGTGTTTGGTGTTCTAATTTGCTGGAAGCTGCTCAGAGTGGTTGGAGCAACCCAGTCAGATGGGCGGCATATAAACAATAAATTATTGTTGTTGTTATTATCATTATTATTAAGATTAGTAGTAAAGCATGGGAGTTACCTGCCAGATTGCTCAGTGACAAAACAAATGTCAGCTGTTGCACTTTTCTACCTTTTGAATACACAGTCTAGCTCAGAAAATGCACCACTGGGTATGTGTCCTACATTTAACATGGTCTTACATTTTAATATTGTTCACATAATTTCACATGTTCATAGAGTTAAAATACTTTTAGGCAACAAGAAAGACAAATTAAATTTGGAAGCACTGTTATTCTTCAAAATAAATTTGAAAGAAGCTATTAGAAATGATAAATATTTGGCATGAGGGCACTCTCAGGTTTCTATACTGTATTCTTGAGTTCAGAGAAGTCTTTGGTTGTCTACAAAGCTCAACTTCTGTAGAGCAATGGGAGACAGATTTCCTTACCAGATCATTGAGGATACATGATATGACAGTATTTTAAAACAAGCACGTGATCAAGCATAGACTTCTGGGACAGGAAGATACAACTACAAAAAGCAGAAAATACTCCTGAACCAAAATCTGCTGCCTAGGTTGTAAAAAACTATAACCCTGTCAATACAATACATTAATAAATAATTAAAATGAAAAACAGCTATATGTATTAAAAAGTGCATTATTTAATAAAAATTGCTCCAATTCAATTATTATTTTTATAGAAAAATATTAAAGCTTCAATATTGCACTGGAATGCTGATTAAAAGGCGTTAGCCCTTACAGCCCATTGTACTCCATTGTCTTTCTTGATATTATTGATAGTTGACATTCCATGAATACAATCCCATTTTGCTGCTTGAGTACAGTTTTTCATTAATGCGATGATCTTGAGGTAGAATGTTTTCCTTCGTTATTATTTTTCTTCACAACTTTGCCGCAGACTAAATCATACCGATTCTTCAGCAACAGGAAAAGGCTCCAAAGCTTTCTCCGCGTTCTTCCAGTTGTGGAAGTTTTCTTGATACCATTCAACTAGCACAAGAAAAGGAAGATTTCAAAGCATGAATATGTAATAAGCAATCTTACTGTGCTATTCCATGCAGGCTACAAAAACACACACAAAATCATTAAGTGCAGAGGGTGACAGATTACAGGGTACTAGTTATAATCAAGACAGTGTATTTTTCAGTTTGAAGAAGGTTTCTGTCTCATGATTTTTTTGGCAGCACATTTCAAGGATTCAGGAACCAAAAAGCACAAATAAAAAGTTTTGGTTTATGATGGTTGAAATGTTGTTAACAGCAGAGTAACAATGCCAGACATTTAGGATTAATAAGGGCATTTGATCGCCCCTAAAGGAAGTCAATTTCATCTCACAGCATATACAGACTTGTTTCTCTGGTTGGAACCAGAGACAAGGTACGCAGAACTCTGCTCTCACAACAAGCCATCCTATCTTCCTCTACAGGCCCTTGTGTCTCTTGAGAAGGCACCCCCACTCCTCAAGGTCCACAGGGTTTTAGCACAAGTTGGTGAAATTCAGGCAATACTTGCACGAGCAGAGTTGCCTTTTGCTCACATACAGAAGGCCCTGAATTCCAGGTTAGCTTGTGAACAAATATTTGTCTTATGGAAGTTTAAGTCGAGGTCTGCAGTCCTTTGCCAAGTTTCAAGAGCAGCCTAGGAACTTAATTGGGCACTTAAGCTAATGGTGGAAACTAGTGCTTTTTTGGGGGGCAGGGGTACAAATACCCCTAAACATTTTATAAATCTAAGTTTGGCCTCATTGAGGGGCAGTATTTCAATATGGGTAGGAAAATGAGAGTACCCCTAAACCTTTTTTTTAGAAAAAAAAAGCACCAACGGCAACCAAGCATGTACCACGTCCAAACGTAATTGATGTATGTGAAAAGTGCTTATGTGGTCTAGTCTAACAGTTGCCTGGATGCAGATAATTTTTATTCTCATATTTCTTACTGCTTCCCCCACCCCAACACACAGTGCCTACTCTCAAGCTCACAGAAGCAACATTAATTTCCTCTCTTACCATTACAGCCATACCTTGGAAGTCGAACGGAATCCATTCCGGAAGTCCGTTCGACTTCCAAAACGTTTGGAAACCAAAGCGTGGCTTCTCATTGGCTGTAGGAAACTCCTGCAGCCAATCAGAAGCCGCAGAAGCCCTGTCGGACATTTGGCTTCCAAAAGAACGTTCGAAAACCAGAACACTCACTTCCGGGTTTCGATCGTTCAGGATCCAACTTGTTCGGAGTTTGGGATCCAAGGTATGACTGTATAAACAAACAAAAATACAATGGGAGGTTCAAAGCCTTTACTTTAAAAATTCTAGCTTTAGCTAATTCAGTAAACAGCTTACTCTCCTAAGTAACCTATAAAAAAACAGGTTTTTTGAAAACAGTGCTGCCCTGCTTTCCTTCCACTCTCATTCCAGATTTAGTATCAATACAACATACTGGTTTTCTTTATTCCTTCATTCCAAGGTACTTTAGGTCTCCAGCCCAAGCTGTGCATTTTTCCAGAATTCATTGGATATCCCAAGTCATTCGTAGGCCTTTAAATAAATGAGAAGAGTGTTATTCCTATGGAGAACTCAAAGTTTCATACAGCATGTGTATTAATTACCTTCAAAGGACATTTAGAAGTTCAGCACTTTATTCCTTTGGATTAATCTTTAGGCTGCCCTTCCTTCTCTTGTTAAACACGCATGATTTACACAAAATAGTCTATATTCACAAATATTACGCACTTGCAAGGCACCCAAATAATTTCCAATCTGTGACTCGATTACTGCATTCACAGACCTGAGTGTGAGTAATCACAGCAAAGATCAGTCATGTAGGGCAGAAAAATATACTACCACTAACCTCAAACATGGGAAATTTATTTGGAATATTATGGATGAATACCAATGAATTTGAGAAGTTGTAATTGCATTTTCAGGTGACTGACCCTAGCAGGTGCATAGATATATTCATATACATTCTGATTATGAACACCTTTAGTTTAGTTTTAATTTGTATAGGTAAAGGGACCCCTGACCATTAGGTCCAGTCGTGACCGACTCTGGGGTTACGGCGCTCATCTCACTTTATTGGCCGAGGGAGCCGGCGTACAGTTTCCGGGTCATGTGGCCAGCATAACTAAACCGCTTCTGGCGAACCAGAGCAGCGCACGGAAACGCCATTTACCTTCCCGCCAGAGCGGTACCTATTTATCTACTTGCACTTTGATGTGCTTCCGAAATGCTAGGTTGGCAGGAGCAGGGACCGAGCAACAGGAGCTCACCCCATCACGGGGATTTGAACCGCCGACCTTTTGATCGGCAAGTCCTAGGCTCTGTGGTTTAACCCACAGCGCCACCCGCGCCCCTTTAATTTGTATAACCCATCACAATTCCAGTCACTAAATGGGGCGTGTGTAAATTAAAACCATGTGGAAAACATAACACAAACATGCCAAATCAGATCCCAGTCAATTTATATTTTTAAAAAAACAAATTAGAAAGGAGTATTATGAACATCCTTAAGCCTTAACACCAACAGCATTTTTCAGGAAATGTATCAAAACGCTGAAATGGAGTTTTGAAAGCCCTTGCATATTCAAAACTCCATTTCAAAGTTTACTACGTTTCTGTCCCACTCTTTGTCCAAGGAGCTCTCATCGTATCCTAACAACTCTAGAAGGTTGCTTAGGCTGACAGAGTCGTAAGCTTCATTGGGAGCCAGCATTTGTTCACAGACAGCTTTCCAGGTCATGTGGCCAGCCTGACTAAACTGCTTCTGGTACAACGGAACCAGAGCACATGGAAATGCCGTTTACCTTCCCACCACAGCGGTAACTATTTATCTACTTGCACTGGCGTGCTTTCGAACTGCTAGATTGGCAGGAGCTGGGACAGACCAAAGGAAGCTCATCCCTTTGCAGGGATTCAAACCGCCAACCTTCTGGTCAGCAAGCCCAAGAGGTTCAGTGGTTTAGACCACAGCGCCACCCGCATCCCTTCAACCTCAAGTATTCTTGATTCAAGACTCATATTTTATCTATTACACCACACTGACGACTTCTAATTTCTCATAAAAGAAAACCACTCTTTCTACAACCCTAAATGTATTAAGCGAGACCATAAATCACATAGACGCAGATGAAACATTTTATTGGTACATGTAAAGAAAATGAGATAGATAAGAACAAGTCACATTTAGGACTATTTCAGTAGCTGCATCTAGCAATAAACAACATTCATCATACTTAGAGCAGACCTACTAAAATCAGTTAACTTAGGTCCATTGATTCAATCATTCTGTGCGAATTCAGATGAGGGGATTACTGTGTTAGTTTTTCTTATTATATATAACATTTCTTTCCTGATTTCAAAAGTTCCTTTCACACTGAAGTACTTGTTTCATTTTGGAGTGGCGGCTTTTTGATCGATATATCACCATGTTACACTAAATTGATTGATATACCACATTACACTAAACTGATATACCACCATGTTACACTAAATTTTAAATGGCAGGAAAGGACTGCATGCTGGGATACCACCCCAAAATTTGTCACATGAAATTAAAACGCCAGATTCCTGTGGTTTTCCAAGCTAAAAGAGTTGGATACAGAATTTATCTGTAAAGCAATTAATGCTAAATTCAGCCAGATTTCCATTGTGTGAAAGATCAAATGCAATGCAGAAAATAACAGGAAATGCCAGGAAGACCAAAAAATTGCCGTGTGACCGCAGACCCAATTGAATATCTCTTGTGATGTTTTTGGTTTTTCAAGAAGAAGCTTCATTATATGAAATCTTTAACCGAATTGCTTCAAGGAACTATAAAACAGAAATAAAATATTCCAGTAAAAATACTGGGTAGTTTGGCTCATTACTTTTATATCCAAATCCAAGTAAAGGGTCTTTGTTTAACTGTAGCAATAAGCCATAAGCTACTTTCAAATAGTTAAAAGTCTCAAGCAAGTCACGCGATGGTTGGTAAAACATAAAAGCAGTGTCTACGCCAATATGAAATGCAGTGACTCAGCTTGCATGCAAAGCTACACCAAAGGTTTGTTCTGGGTTCACTGCTCATGGTTTGTCTGAAGTAAGACAAACTGTGAACCTGAGTCCAAACATAATGCTAAGACAATCACTGCCCCCTTTCAAGCTCTGAGGCTTGGGAGTGTGTATTGGTCTAAACCACTGAGCCTCTTGGGCTTGCCGGTCAGAAGGGCGGTGGTTCAAATCCCCGCGACAGGATGAGCTCCCGTTGCTCTGTCCCAGCTCCTGCCAACCTAGCGGTTCAAAAGCACACCAGTACTAGTACATCCTTGTGCACATTAATTGAAACAATGTTGTTTAGTGTACAAAACTCACATATACATACATTAGTATCGGATATGACCTCCGCTATTTTTAAGCAGCATTTGAACACGGTTTGGCATGGAGTCTACTAGTTTCAAACAGTCACTGTTGATTTTTGGATCCCTGTACCACACTTGAATCAGCGCCTGAATGAGCTTTTCCATAGTCATACAGTCTACAGCACGAAGGCGACTTCTGCATATAGCCCACAAATTCTCAATGTGATTTATGTCTGGGGAATTCTCTGGCCAATCAAGTACTGCTCTGTCATGAATTTCTTCACCACTTTTGATGTGTGACAGGGGGCTAGGTGCTGCTGCAATATCCCAGTACTGTCAGGATACCTCTTCTCCAGCTCTGGAATAACTCTCTTTGGTAGAACCTCAATATATTGTGGCAAGCACATCATTCCTTCCATTGGCTGCAGGCTTCTGACACCATAATGATCAAGTGACTTTTCGTGTTTGTTTTGAGTACAGGATTACGAGTAAGACAGAAAACATGCTTTGTTTCAATTAATTTGCACAAGGGTGTAGATAAATAGGTACCACTGTGGCGGGAAGGCGTTTCCGTGCTCTCTGGCTTCCGTCACAGTGTCCCATTGCGCAAGAAGCGGTTTAGTCATCCTGGCCGCATGACCCAGAAAGCTGTCTGTGGACAAACGCCGGCTCCCTTGGCCTGAAAGCGAGATGAGCGCCACAACCCCATAGTCACCTTTGACTGGACTTAACCATCCAGGGGTCCTTTAACTTTACCTTTTTACCTTGGGCACCCAGGACCTAACTCATCTTCCTATCCTGGAGCAGGAAAGGATTGTACAGCAAAGCTCCATGCTTGCTTCTCCATGCCACAGCCCAACCTACAAAGGGTGGGGGGCAGAAGAGCTCAAAATTTGGCTTCGCTGTAACATAAGGAAAACATTCTGTACCACCAAAGAAGAGGACACATAATATTACCCAAATTATGATGGCATCTGAAATCCTGTGGGATATTTTACAGGACAGGACAGGACAAAATATTTGAAACGAAATAATAAATATCTTACCTGTCTTTAACATAATCCATCCAATATTCTGTCTCTGCTTCAGAACTGGTATTTTTAATCTGTAAATCAGGAGGGTGGGGGAGATCTATGTCAGCAGTGAGAGACTTAACATTTAACAAAATGTTTTTGATTTCTATTGTGTTGTAAGCACAACTACTTCTAATGAGCAGATTTCCACAAAAATTTCCATCCTCTGTTTTGTTTAAAATGTAGATGATTCCCAAGTGCTGCTAGTTGTATCTATAAACTACTAAGGAAAACAAGAGACGTAAGTTGTGAGAAACACTCAGGTGGCCGTAAATAAATCTTGCATTTAAGATGCTAAGTGCTAGCTAGTCAGCCCAAATCAAAGGTGTTTATCGTTTGGTGTATGTGACTAACATGGTTACTAAATATATTCTGAGCCATGCAATATTGACCATAATATAAAAGCGTGAAGCCATGCAGATAAGTGGTGAGGATTTGCCCTAGTAGTTTGTATGGAACTACCTTGAATCACTTAAAGAGAAGAAAAAGAAGAACTGGCGCGTTCTTATATACAGTAGTACCTTGGGTTAAGTACTTAATTCGTTCCGGAGGTCCGTTCTTAACCTGAAACCTCTTAACCTAAAGCGCCACTTTAGCTAATGGGGCCTCCTGCTGCCGCCGCGCCACCAGAGCACAATTTCTGTTCTCATCCTGAAGCAAAATTCTTAACCCGAGGTACTATTTTTGGGTTAGCGGAGTCTGTAACTTGAAGTGTATGTAACCTGAAGCATATGTAACCCAAGGTACCACTGTAATTGGTGATACCTGAAAGTGTTGGAAAGGGAGACTCTAATGGAATTAATGGGTACATCCATAAACACAACATTTCAGTGAGGAGCCCACCGTAGGAAGTCTGCTGTAATTAGGTAAGCCACATTCTTCCCTGGACTGAACTTTGGGGGGGGGGGGCTGGTTTGAGCAGAAAATGGATTGGGGGCTGTCACACGAAAGGTGGAGAAAGCTTGTTCTCTCCTCCTCTAGAGGGTAACACCTGAACCAATGGCTTCAAGTTACAAGGAGATTCTGGTGAAACATCAGAAAGAACTTTCTGACGTTAAGAGCTCTTCGACAGTGGAACGGCTTCTCATGGAAAGGGGTTGACCCTTCTTCCTGGAAGGTTTTTAAGCAGAGGTTGGATGACCATCTGCCACGGATTATTTAGCTGAGATTCCTGCATAGCAGGGAGCTGAACTAGATGACCCTCAGATCCCTTCCAACTGTACAATTCTATGATTCTACCCTATCAACCTTCCTCTATGAAAGCCTAACTGATTTCTCTAGCTTCAATAATGAAGCCACTTTTCTTGTCATTGAAGTTTTCCAAGTGTTGTGGGAGGTGATTATTGGCTTGTTTTTGTTTTTATTATGTATTTTGTGTTCTCATTTTGTATTTTATGTTGTGAAACACTATGGGATCTTTGGATGAAGGGCAGCATACAAATTTAATAACAGCAATAATAATAATAGTTACAGTGGTACCTCAGGTTAAGTACTTAATTCGTTCCGGAGGTCCGTTCTTAACCTGAAACTGTTCTTAACCTGAAGCACCACTTTAGCTAATGGGGCCTCCTGCTGCCGCCGCGCTGCCGGAGCACGATTTCTGTTCTCATCCTGAAGCAAAGTTCTTAACCTGAAGCACTATTTTTGGGTTAGCGGAGTCTTTAACCTGAAGCGTATGTAACCTGAAGCATATGTAACCTGAGGTACCACTGTATAGGCAAAAAGAGGTTAAGTCAAATGTTTAAACATATAAGCATGCGAGTGCTAGAAAATAAACAAAAAAACCAAAAGCAGAGAGCCTTCCTGAAATATGATGGAAATGAATTTGTCAACACAGGATCAAAGGCAGAGCAAACAGACCCCACTGGTTAGTAAAATAAAACTTTGCACATGCTCCCCCATTTCCAAATGTATCTGCACACACACATCTTACAGAGTCATTTACTGAAATGTATCAATAGAGTTCATTTGTCCTAGTCAGTATTTATTGCTACTAAGCCACCAATTTCCAACACTGTTTGTTACTCACTAGATGGATTAATTCCTTTGCAAGTTGTGCAATCGACATCTCAAAGCTGGTCCCAATGTTGTAGATTTCCCCTGGCTGCCCCTTCTTCATAACAGTAAGAAATGCTTCGGCTACGTCACTGGCATAAAGAAAATTTCTTCTCTGAAGTCCTGAGCCATGAATACAGCTACAAGCAAGTAAGACAGTGCATACATTTAGCATTGCTTTCAAACGCTATTTTAACATTCCAGCCAGGTTTGCAAAATTATAAACTGCTTACAAAGGGCAAAGTATGTGATAACAAAACACAACCTCCATTCATGCTAATTCTTCACAATGGCAATAAATCTGGTGGCACACACAGCAAGTTACAAAGAATTACAGAAAAGTGGCTGTTGCACTGCACCCTGTGTCAGACTTTACACTACAGAGTGTGTCCTAGCAGTGTTAAAACATATAACAGGTGTAAATCCATGTCAATGAGAAACTACAAGACCAAGAAAACAAATCTTCTTTACCCCAGCATTATACATTCTCTTCAGCAAGGTTTTAAATTAGCGAAAAGCATGAAACAGTGACTCTGCTATGCCCATCTATGACCTCCTGTGGTGGGACAGAGTATTAAGAAACCATATACCTATTGTTGTTGATTAAAAGCAGTTGTGCATGCAGGTTTTGTCCCAGGGCAGTGCGGTCTCAAAACGTGACCCATTTTACTGTCCGGACTGATTTTAGCACGGGGTGTTCAATTTCAAGGGTGCATGTGACTGACTTAGCTTGCCATACACTTATAACAGAAGGGGCAGGGGGACCGAATATGACTGTGATACATACCATTTTCTGTTCTGCTGCAAGCGAGAAATGAACTTTGGAATAACCTAAGAAACATTAAAAATAGGCAGCAATTGTTAATCCAGGCTACTTAAAGAGAATGATAAACCTTTCAGCTTGTTTGAAATATTTGTGTGAGAACATATTTAATTCTAGCAACGGACAGTAATAAAGACCACCAATCACTTGTAGCAGTGCCTTCTTTTTTTAAAGGTAAGGGGCTGAAACCACAACCTGCTCCACCTGCTAAACAGCCAATTAAAAGCCAAAATGTTTTCAATTATGGGTTCTGCACACACAATTTTGGCTGCTGGATCGGAGAGGTGAACTGGACGGGTAGCACTTAGCTACATGCATGGTTCCTCACCTGGCTGAGATTTACTATTTGCATGGAAGCCTATTTACACATGCTAAAATCCCTAGCTAGATGAATGGCCAACTCTTAATATTTGACGGCATGCACATTAATAAGCAGTAATTCTACAGAACAGAGACCACGTAATAAATGCTTGGTAAAGTACTGTGACTTGTTAACTGAGGGCTCACAAAGGGTTTGTTTGATAAAAGAAATGCCTTCGTCTCACTTACTTTTTCTGGAAACTGATGGGGTCCATAAACATTGCTGCTCCGCGTGATAACCACTGGAAACTTTAAAGGATATACTATGAGTGTGCCAGCACAAATTCAAGGAGAACAGCCATAAAAAAGCTTGCGATGGCTTAGATCCTAACTCAGGTTCTGCTGGTGGGGGGCATCTCCCCTTCCTCCCACCACCCAGCTGATTTCCCCCTGTGAAACCTGCTCTAGGGTGTTAGTATATCCTCCCAAGCAGCATGAGAAACATCATGTGAGGGGAGAGACTTCATCAGGCAAGGCCTTCTTTCATCTGCCTTGCCCCACCCGCCAGTCTCTGCTTCTCAGTTTGTATTGTATTATTTTATGCACTGTGATTTGCCAATGTTTTATTGATTATAGTTTAGAAATTATTTATTGTAATTGTTAAGAGTGGATTTCTGTTTAATTTTTTACATGCTGATATTTAATATTACTCTATAGTATTCTAATGGATTGTTGTACATTACTTTGTTTGATATAAGTTGCTTATTTTAAAGTTATGTTTTATTATCACATTTTTGAATTGGATTAGATTGTTATAAGGTGTACATTCTTTGTTTCTTCAGCTTGCAAACCACCTTGGGTATTGTAAAATACAAAGACTGTAAAGTGGTGCCTCGGGTTACATACGCTTCAGGTTATATACGCTTCAGTTTACAGACTCCGCTAACCCAGAAATAGTACCTCGGGTTAAGAACTTTGCTTCAGGATGAGAACAGAAATCGTGCTCTGGTGGCGCGGCGGCAGGAGGCCCCATTAGCTAAAGTGGTGCTTCAGGTTTAAGAATAGTTTCAGGTTAAGAACGGACCTCCGGAACCAATTAAGTACTTAACCCGAGGTACCACTGTATACAAATTAAAAGTGAAGTGAAATGAAATGAAAAAATCATGTCCTAGCCTCACAGCTCCCTCTGCAAATGCAACAAGGCCTTCTGTTTGCAGGGGACTAGTAAAGATACAAACCAATGCCTTCTTCCATAAACAGAAGAAGCAGTAAGTGGTGCACTTTTCACAGCTCTGAAGAATATCAGCTAAGATCAAAATAATACCCTTTTGGGATAGGACTTTGGGCCCAACTGCATGTTATACAATGGCAAGCCTGGGCTTATCACCACGTACACAAACTAAAAAAATCTTGCTCCTTGACAAGCATACCTATACATCGTGCCACGTGGCCACCAGGCCCACAAGAGTAATCAGTGGTGTTCTATTTTAAAGTATTCCTTGCTTCCAATATGGAGCAGCAGAAAGGGGACTCTGGGACATGCTTCACTTCTCTTAAAGCAGGCACCCCCAAACTCGGCCCTCCAGATATTTTGGGACTACAACTCCCATCATCCGTAACTAACAGGACCAGTGGTCAGAGGTGATGGGAATTGTAGTTCCAAAACATCTGGAGGGCCGAGTTTGGGGATGCCTGTCTTAAAGGCTGGGCTTTGGAGTCAGAGGCTAAACAGATATTCTCGAAAGAGGGAAAAGCCAGACGTTATCAGGAAATTGATACCTGTGGTGCAGCATTTCACAGAAAACCACAAACAAGCATAGCAAGTTTAGCAGGTTACATATCAAGTTTTTAAATGTTCATTTTTTGTTGTAAGTAAGCCCACGGCAAAAATATAACTACCATATTTTATACTGGAAATCTACTATGTATTTTAAAACTCGCTAGTACCAGCATAGCAGGGGTAGCCAATATTGTGTCCTCCAGCTCCCATCAGCCCTAGCCAGCATGGCCAATGGTGAGGAATGATGTGAGTTGTAGTCCCATCGTATCTGGAGGACACAACATTGGCTAGCCCATTGAACATAATGAAATTGACTTCTGACTAAACGTATATAGTTTGCGGTGGTAACTTCTTTAACCTCAGTGTGGGTTGTTGTGCATTTCTGCTGTGTCCAAAACATGTTTGGGCATATGGACCATGTTCAGAAATCCAAATAATTAATAATAGTACCTAAAATATCAAGTTTCATTTCTGCTTACCTGGTATCTTTCCCAATATGACTGGACAATGCATTCAGCTGCCGCCTTAGAAGCTGCATAAGGATTTGACGGTTTTTTAGATGAGGATTCATCAAATTCCTAGAACAATTTTTTTACATGCCAGACATTCAAAGTCTTAAAAAGAATTTATATTGATTTACAAGCCAGCTTAAAATGACTCTTGTTAATGGTCCGATTCTCACATAATGCTAAACTATGGCTTATTTAACAAACCTCAAATTAACCATGAGCTGCCTGATAAAGCAGCAGAGAACAGCTTGTTCCTCCACTGTTTGGGATTTTTTTAACACTAGCCTTGTGTCTTTGTAGCTTAGTGAGCATCTGGGGTTAAGCAACCAAACAAACTATGGTTAAGGAAGGGTACTAGACTCACACATTAAGAGCAAGTCATTGGTAAAACAAAGCAGGGTTCGTAAGCCAGTGACAAATCATAACTTTATATTCTGGTTTCTTGGTAATAAATAAACCACAGTTATGTCATTTGCCAGTGTTTTCAGGAAACAGTAATTCATGGCTTAATTAGTCTACAAACTAGACTAGTGATTGAGGATAAGCTCGAAAGTAAAAACATTAAGTTACTATTGTAGCAATAATTCATAGAAACGTTGTTCAGTTTGGCTAATGGTTGCACAATACTAAATTCTACATTTATATACCAACAGTAATGTTTAAGATAGTTGTGGAATTGCATGCAAATTGTTACTTTAGACACCTTTCCTTTTTTGGTTTGAGTTAACACAAATAAGCAGTGCAAGCTTGCCAAAAACATGTAGTAAATTAAAAAAACACCTCCACCACTTTGGAATAAACACAAAATGCTATATACGGAGTGAAAAAATTTAAGAGGTTTTTCTCATTGCTAATAAATTTAAAAAATAGTCTAGTAGCACCTTAGAGACCAACTAAGTTTGTTCTAGGTATAAGCTTTTGTGTGCATGAAGAGTACCTGAAGAAGTGTGCTTGCACACGAAAGCTCATACCTAGAACAAACTTAGTTGGTCTCTAATGTGCTACTAGACTATTTTTTTATTTTTTAAAAAAAATAATTTTTAAAATTTTATTTATTTCAACTGCATCAGACCAACAAGGCTACCTACCTGAATCTTTCTCATTGCTAGTTATCTAACATCATACCCAAATAATACTTCCACTCTCTAATTAGCAGTAGTGCTAAGAAAAATCTACCCCCAGCTAAGCACATAAGGATAAAATACTAACCCACTTACCTAGAAGTAAGCCCTGCTGAATTCAATAGGGCTTACTTCTGAGCAGCGGCGTAGCGTGGGTTGTCAGCACCCGGGGCAAGGCAAGTAATTTGCGCCCCTTAACCCGGGGCAAGGCAAGTAATTTGCGCCCCCTAACCTGCCGCCGCTGCCAGCTTCTTCTTGCTGCTGCCTGGTCTGGTCTGGTGTGGTTCTCTCCCGCGCTCAGCGCTGCGCTGGGCGGCCGCTGCACTGTCCCTCCCCCAGATAGTCCCTCGCTCTCTCTCCGCACCGCACGCCTGGCACACACCCCCACAGTGGGCGGCGACCCAGCGGCTCGGATCGGATTCGCACAGCCAGCACTGCAGTGAGAGAGAGTGAGTGAGCCAGGTAGGGGCAGAGAGCTGCGAGTGCGAGCTCAGATGTTGTGCCCGGTGCGGCCGGCCCCCCCCTGCACCCCCCACGCTACGCCACTGCTTCTGAGTAGATGTTGGTTAGGATTGTGCTGCAAGATACCCCAGAGGGCCTGATCCTTTTCCTAGCAGATGCAGCTGAAATCATGGAAAAAGGGAGAGTGATCCTGTCTACCTATATAGTATAAGGAAACCACCCTGCCCAAAGTGTTCTCCTAAATTCAACTCTGACTACCTTTACCAGTAATTAATATTTTACTCTTGCTCCATGACAAGTGAGGTTTCATGTTCCATCCTCTTACTGAAAAAAAAGCATTTACTTGCACAGCAATCCTAAAATACCAAAGTACTAACAAAAACTCTTGCATCCTTTAAAGACAGCAGAATCAACAACGCTTTAGGTCAAATTTGTACCAGGACATTCCTTCTGTGTAAGATGATCATTATCTTTTGGTTATTTTCAAGTGGCCGAACACTGGTGTAAATGTTAAAACAATATGCTTACTAAGTTGGAAACAAGAGAGGCTCAGTTCCTAATGTTTGTCTATTTTTATTGGTTGGTCATGGGAAGTAAAGTGGTACTAGTTGAACAAAGCTAACAGTCTCCACTTACTGGTCATTGCAAGATCAAGGCCTGTTTAATTCACCCAAGAGACAAACATGAAGGTAAGAGATGTAAGAAACTCATTTAATTCAAGCTCACCTTGTTGTAGCTTCCCCCATAAACTTCATCAGTACTGACATATATGAACTTCTCCACATTAGCCTCATAAGCAGCACCAACCAGAATGCAAGTTCCATAAACGTTGACATAGTTGAATTCAAGCTTATGCCAGAAAGAAAGATCTAAGTTTTGAGACAAAATAATAAAGAGAAATGTACGTCAAACGTGGTACCAAAAAAAGCCTGAAGGCCATGATCTCTGGGGGACCTTCAGACCTACAACATGAACTCAAGTAAAAGAAAAAATGTTGTCTCCATATGCAGTAGAACAAAACTACTCTTAAGAGAGCAGTCCTACACACAAGAAGCTGGTATAAAGCAAGCCAGTATTAAGCCATGATAAAGTTCCATCAGACCCAAACTCCACTCAGCAGCTACTGCTACTGCAGGCTGATCCCTACGGGGCCTAATAATAACAATAATAATTTTACTATTTATACCCCACCCATCTGGCTGGGTTTCCCCAGCCACTCTGAGCAGCTCCTATTAAAGACATTAATCAGGTCCATGGGCCAGATGTTCTGTGCCACTCACAGCAGCAGCATAGTTAACACCTGATGTCAAAAGTTTAAGCAATGATGAATCAAGGGACACAATGGCAAAACAGTAAAACATAGCAATTTATGCACATTGTCACCAGGAGGTTCAGCAAGATAGATGTCCAGCTATGTTAGCAGTGCCAGCATAAGCAGTATCCTCTGCCCCTCGCGCAAAAACGGGAAGCTACTACTAGTAGTAGATTATTGTAGTGACATGCAATGCTCACCTACATGTGTTTGAGCTGCAAAATGTAGCACTATATCAAATTTCTCAGCCTCAAATAATGCTTTTACAAAATTGGGTTCACAGATATCCCCCTATAAAAGATGAAAAGTATAAAATTAGTAGTCAACATCAGCTTTGGTTATGTATGCCCAAAACTCTTCAACTACACCAAATTTTACACCTGTTGCAGAAAGTTTAATATTTTCACTTCACAAAGCTCTGCGGAGGGATGCTCCAGTCAGTTCTAACTTCAGTGAACACAGTGAAATATTCAGTAACAAAGAAAAGAAAAAGCTACCAGTTCCATGTCAGTTAACAAGACTTAAGCTCAGGTAAGTCTGCACAGGTATGCATCCTTTATATTGTAGGTGGTTTTTAAAATAAAAATGAATTACCCCCCCCCAAAAAAGATCTAGTTTACCTGGATAAACTTGTAGTTCTGTCTCTCAGAAACTCTCTCAAGATTTTTTAAGCTTGCACAATAGTCCAGCTTAACAGCAAAAAAAGAAAATAACAGAGAAGTTTTATTTCTAGAGTCAAACTTCTGCTTCTTCATTTTTTCTCATCGCATTCTCTTCCAACCCACCTTCTCTGTATCTTGGGACTCATACAAATCAACCCTTTTAATTAAACTCAGGTGTGTCTTGGTATGAAATAAATGAAAATCATCACATCCACATATCAATTACAAAAATGTCAAGAAAATGAATTCTTAAGAGAGAGAAAAAGTATAATGAAAGCAAGTATATGTTTAATGACAACTCCTTGGTCTGCAGAGTTAATATCTGAAGGAGATATAGAGACTGTATTTTCATTATAAACCCTTCCAAGGAAGAGTTTAATTTTTTATTTACATGGATAAATGTGCAAGACACACAGAACTGGTCAATGAGAAGACCAAAAGCCAGGATTACAAAAAGAAACAGTGTGGAAGTCAGTAACAGTAAGCTGTGAAGGATGATAAGTTTTTTTTCCCTTCATTAATGACAATGCACTGAACTTCATCGTTTAGAATCTGTTACCGAGTATAATATGTAACATATGAATAAACCTTAAGTGCTATCTCTAATCTATACTCCGAGTGATCCTTCAATTTATATAAGAACAAGGAGATGTACTGAGGAGGTTTGAATGAATATTTTTATTATACAGAACAAAGCAACTGCTGAACATGGTTTGGATCTGGTGTAAGCTTAGGCCACCTTAATTTACACTAGCTCACTTTACATCAGCTTCTTCTGCATGAGATTTCTCCCTTAGAACATGACTATTTGGATTAAAGTAGCATAGTTGCAAACATTCAGATCTCATTTACTGTTGTTTATCTCCAGAGCTAAGTAAATAGAGTATTTTGCAAGACACTGGCCTTCCAGATCAAAATTCACCATGGCAGCACATGCTTATGAGTTCCATGGTAATGGCTTACTTTAAAATCAAGACCTGAAATCTTGCATGCAGTCACTGATTGCCTGTCAAGTATATGTTGGTTTGCTAGTTTATGTTTATTTAAGCAAAAGGGTCTTACCTTATCAAGATTAATAATCATATAGTTTGGATGCTTCTCTACGAGGGAAACCACTACATGAGATGCACTGCAGGTTTTGAAGAAAAAACAAAAAATCAACATATTTCAAATTTAAACTGCATTGATTTCAGATGCATTTCCAAAACACGTACACACATGTACCAGTCCCATGCTGCTCCCTTGTTTCTGCTGCTATGGTCAGATTGCTTTTTCTGTCACTAAGTCTGGTACACCGCAAAAGAGTCTTGTGGCAATGTCTCACGAACTGTCTCTCAAGAAATAAGCCTGAACAGAGAAGCAAATCTCAGTGGAAAATATATTCACTTGTGGAGCTCTTAGAATATTTGTTTGTAAACTTTTTTCAGAATAATCCAAAATATTGTTTTCTTTAAGAAGCAACTGTGGTTTTCTTTAAGAAACAAAAACATAAAAAGCTTCTGGCAAATAAGCAACTTACCTACCCACCTCCAAATAGTTTGAACTTCCCACCCCTTTATTAGGGGCATCAAGAAATAAGTGACACCCTTTCCAGTCATACATATTAGGATTTCTTTATTTTTACAGTCATGGAAAACATGACATGGGCCTCATGAATGAATGTCAATGCAGAAGAAGCATAAGACACCTTTCTCTCTTTTCAAACCCGTATTTTCTGAGAAGGTAAGCTTAAGGCCTTTAAACCCTTGCCCCAAATTCACCCCAACCCTGTAAGCGGACACAAGCCAAATCACGAATGGTAGGTAAAGAACTACCCTGCAGCTCACCAGGTAGAGGAACTATACTAAAACCTATTGCTTTCCTCTCTTTTTCTTAAGTAGCAAACACAAGCAAGTTTTTGTTTTTGTTTTGTAAAGAACTTCAATGGAGAAGGATAAGACACCTTTCTTTCCAAGCCCATATTTTCAGAGAAGGAAAGCTTAGTAGGTAAAGAACTACCCTGCAGCTAACCAAGTAGAGGAGTTATACTAAAACCTATTGCTTTCCTCTCTTTTTCTTAAGTAGGAAACACAAGCAAGTTTGTTTTTTCGTTGTAAAGAACTTCAATGAAGAAGAAACATAAGAAACCTTTCTCTCTTTCCAGGCCCATATTTTCTGAGAAGGAAATCTTAACAGGTAAAGAACTACCCTGCAGCTCACCAGGTAGAGAGGAGTTATACGAAAACCTATTTTTGCAAGCTTTCTTTTTTTAAATTATTTTTAAGGAAGTGGTATTCCGGTAATTTATGCAATCTAAATTTCGCAAGGCTGCTTGAAAGGCACGCTGGCAGAGAAAGCAGGCCAAAAGTTTTTGGTTTTTTAAACACACACACACACACAAAACTCTAGGCACCTTTACTCAGGAGTAAGCCCACCCCATCATATTCAATGCGCTTTTTGCCCCTTTCAGGCTTCCTAAAAGCCCCCCCCCAAAAAAAAAACCCCAACCCAGGCGGGAATTTACATGAAGCCCGCGCCGCCGGTCACCAAAATCCTCTTGGCGAAGCCCGGGGGGAGCGGGGCGGCCTCGGACCCGGACAACCCCCCAGACATTCTCCCCACAGCTGGAGAGCCTTTCCTTCCTCCCTCTCTCGCCTCCTCCCCGTCGACGCGTCACTTCCGCCACGGCTGTATACGTCATTTCCGCCTGCCACTGTCACCTACAGAGACCTTTGCACGTGCGCCTCTCTCTGCGTTCGGCGAACGTAGCGCAAGGGGAGCGGTGTCCTGGGCATGCGCACTCGGGCGCTCCCCTCTTTCCAAAACTGGGTGTGATCAAATAAAGTTGTTCCCCCCCAAAAAAAATAAAATTCATTTTTTTCTGTTATGCGGCAGCGGTATTTTTTCTTCTGCCGTCGACCGCCTTGAGCGCGGCTGGCACTGTGCAAAGGCGGCATGCATTCCTCTTCATCCAGACATTTGAATATCGTAGTCTTTTAAATGTTATCCGTGGGAAAGGGAGGGAGTTTTAGTTTTGTTGTTTTGCTTTAATTGTTTATCTGCGTTTTACCCTGTATTTTATTCTGTGAACCGCCCTTGGATCTCCCATTTAATCAGTGACTCCAGGTGGCTGGGATCACATGTTCAATATATCCTCAAGTTGGCTGACTGGACATTATTACACAACCACGAAGGAAATATATGAAAAGGTCAACTCTGGCAAATTATTTACTCTAATGTGGAGTGTACGTTGCAGCGAGGTCTCCTGGCACCCTTTGCAAATCTTTTTAATTCTGAAACAAAGCAGGTTAGGCAAATAAGCTAGTGCGGTTGGTTTGACTCCCTATAGTTTCAAAATTCCACTGGAAAAACGGTTATGTCCCTGTGGAGATGGCAGTATTGAGTCAGTGGCTCATGTGCTTCTGGCTTGCACGCTTTGTAAAGATTTGAGGAGTGAAGTTATTACCCCTCTATTATTGTCGCTCGACCATTGCTACTGTGTCCTTTTTAGCAGATCAAGATGATCAGCTGGCAGCAAAAACTGAAAGGCTTTTAGTGGGGGCAATTAGAATAAGAGCTATTATTTGATTATTGATGTAAACCTGAAAATTTATTTTGTATAGTTTTTACCTCTCCAGTACAATTTATTTTATTGCTATTGCTTAGTGGCTGATGCAAATAAAAGATTCTTCTGATTCTGAATATAAAGTAAAATACAAATACTGATTATATATTTTGTGCTTTTATCTTTTGATTTTGTTCTGTGAACCGCCCTGAGACCTCGGGGCATATAAATTCAGACCTCGGGGTATATAATCACCATAATCATCATAAATCCTGTATAATACGTGTCCCACGGCTATGACGTCACGACCCCCTTCTGACGCCGCGTTCCCTCACCCTCTGCCCTCCTTTGGAAGTTTCCCCGCCCACCTACCCACCCAGCAACCAATCAACAGGCTCCTCCAACACGACCTGGTCACGCGGTTGGAGAGCTCGTTCCCTAGCAACCGCCGCCGCGCGCCGATGAAACGGGCAGCAGGACGGAAGCATTCCGGTCTCTATAGGCTGGCCCCGCCCACCCGGCCGATCCGAAGGACGCTATTGGTTAGCTGCGCGATCAATCCCGCTCCCGCCCGCCCACCCGTGAGGTTGTAGACGTGGTACGGGGATGAGAAAGCGGTGACTTAGGCGGCCGCTCCCGCCGAGGGGAACGACCATGGGGCTTCCGTGGCTCGCCTGGGCCGTCCTGTGCTGCGCCGCGTGGCTCCCGGCGGCGCAGGCCAAGACGGTCCGGGGCGGCTTCTCCAGCGCGGCCGCCGGAGCTGGCCAGGCGGCGGCGCAGTTCCAGTTCCACGGTAAGCGGGGCGCTGCCCGGCCCGGAGGAGGATCTCGCCCAGCGCCTTTGCGCAGCGCGATCCTATGCGCGCCGAGCTCGGGATCGAGCGCAGCAGGGCCTTCGGTTGGGAGAAGGAGGGATGCGAGGGACCCCGTGCCAGGGCCTTTTCTGCTGTTTGCGCACGTTTCCACGCGTTATGCGCCTTTGCGCAGTGCGATCCTATGCGCACCGAGCTCGCAGCAAGGCCTTCGGTTGGGAGGAGACGGAGGGATGCGAGGGACCCCGTGCCAGGGCCTTTTCTGCTCTTTGCGCCCGTTTCCACGCGTTATGCGCCCTTTTGACAAGGGTTTGCCCCGACTCTAGGGGGCTCTGAGACTCTCCCCACCCTGAAGTCCACCGCCGTTTGGCTCCCCCTGTAGCTACGGCTCTGTCTGGACCTCAGCTGATCTTGCAGCCATATATATCGTCACCTATATAGGTAAGGTAAAGGATCTCTGGATGGTTAAGTTCAGTCAGAGGTGACTGGCACTCATCTCGCCAGCATGAATAAACCGCTTCTGGCGCAACGGCATCCCGTTACGGAAACCAGAGCGCATGGAAATGCCATTTACCTTCCCCGCCACAGCGGTACCTATTTATCTACTTGCACTGGCGTGCTTTCGAACTGCTAGGTTGGCAGGAGCTGGGGCAGAGCAACGGGAGATCACTCCATCACAGGGATTCGAACCTCCAGCCTTCTGATCAGCAAGCCCAAGAGGCTCAGTGGTTTAGACCATTTAGTCCTGCATATATAAGTGACTGTAAAGGTAAAGGGAGGTGGGTGGAGCTGTGGTCTAAACCACTGAGCCTCTTGGGCTTGGCAATCAGAAGGCTGGAGGTTCAGATTCCCGCCATGGGGTGAGCTCCCATTGCTCTGTCCCAGCTCCTGCCAACCTAGCAGTTCGAAAGCACGCTAGTGCAAGTAGATAAATAAGTACCAGAGTGCGGGAAGGTAAATGGCGTTTCCGTGCGCTCTGGTTTCCATCACGGTGTTCCGTTGCGCCAGAATCGGTATAGTCATGCTGGCCACATGACCCAGAAAGCTGTCTGTGGACAAACGCGAGCTCCCTTTGCCTAAAAGCGAGATGAGCACCGCAACCCCATAGTTGCCTTTGACTGGGTTTAACTGTCCATGGGTCCTTTCCCTTTTTATATATCTTAGGTAAGCAATTAAATTTTGCATGCCCCACTTTTAACAAACAGCATTCGCTGTCAAAGAGGGAGGATGGCGCTGTTGCAGCAGGAGTTTCTCTCCTGTTGGAATGGCTTCTTGTTTTCCCCTTTGGAGAGTCATAGAATCGTAGGGTTGGAAGGGATCACGAGGGTCTTCTAGCCCAACCCCCTGCAATACAGGAATCTATTTGCTCAACGTGGAGCTCGAATTCACAACCCTGAGATAAAGTGCTTCATGCTCTTCTAGTGACTGAGCTATCTATCCTGCAGGCAGCTGTCAGATGACAAGCATTGCCTTGCTAGTCGCATCTCCTTTCTGCTGGTTTGGAGTTATGAGATTTCCCCAGTAATCGTAGGCCCAAGGTAAGCCCTGAATAAAGGGCGCTATAGGGGCAGAGGGCAGAGACTTAGGCTGGATCCTAAGCCTGAACACTATTGCTTTCTCTCTGCCAGACTTAGGCAAGCTCAGCCAGCTGCAGCCCCACTGCTGAACGGAGTCTGGATCTAGTGTAATTTTACCCTAGTTTAAGTTATACCAGCTTGCTTTATGCCAGTGTCTTATGTATAGGGTTGCTTCCATAGAGATCCAGTGTGTACATGGGTGTAATTGAGTCGCTCAGCCTAGGTCTTAGCTGTCTGATTTGAGCCAACTGAAATCACTTTGCTGTATAAATAACATTCTGCAGCAGGGACAATCCAAAACATTTTTTATACCCACCTCAGAATGTCCAAAGTGCCCTTCCCCAAATAAATCTAGGTTCTACAAGATAAATATATAGCAGCCCAATGTAGAGCATTTTCACAGTTTGGATTTTTTTGTGCCTTGATGTAAGCTGGAAAAATAATTGCAGGCTTCTTATACAACTATTTGTTGACCTAAATATTGGTAGGAAAATGAACACTTGGCAGCAGTTTGCATTAAGAGGCGATTCTGCCAGCATTAAAAGCTTTCTAGATAATATTTCTTCTTTATTTCCGTCCTTATCTGTGTAATAGACTTTGACTTCTTTTTAAATATCAAGGTGATTGTGCTCTTCTGTATGTCAGAATCAACAATGTAGCAACAGCGGTTGGAAAAGAAGCCAAGCTTCACCTCTTTCAAGCTCAGGAATGGCTAAAGCTGCAAGAAAGCTACCAGGATTACAGCTGTAAAGAGAGATTGTCCAAAGCTCAGCTGATAAGTGAGTTCGAATGGGCGGTGGGTGTCATAAATATACTGAGTCAGTTCATAGCTTATTATATGCATCAGTTGAACAATAGGTTTAGGATGAAGAAAAAACTAAGAGAAGAGTTAATGTGTTTATAAATTTGCTCATGTAAACGAAAGGCATGGAATTGTAAGCCAAGGTACCCAGACTTAACTTCCATACCATGCAAGCAGTATATATTGTGCCTGATTGCAACTTAGCCTTCATACATGCACTCTCCTGTGGTTTTTCAGCCCCAATTTTCATATTGGGGGAGCACACATGCAGTAGCATGCCACAGCACATCCACACAGCAATGTGTGCAGCAGTGTGTCTTGTGCAAGCACATGCAACAGCAGGCTGAACTGTGTCATGAGCAGGCATGTGCAATAGCACATCATATAAAAATATGCACGGCAACACATCATTGCAAGAAGCAGTTCAGCACATGCAAAATGCACGCAGCAGCATGTCATCTGCCCTTTCCTCATCCAGAAAGCAGCCTGCTCACTCTGTGACCACCATTTTTATTTTGGGAAGTATCAAAACTGGCATGATAATCCATCGGGGGAAAGTTTTGTAATTATTGAAAAAATGGCTTGCATCCTAAGATAAGTTCCCAGCCTGTTATTCCACCAAAACCCCTCTCCAGGAAATCAGGAGCCTTCCTAAACAATTTTGGTTGGGATTTAGAGGGCAATTAGGAGGAGGAAACTTTTCTACCATGAACTTGTTAGAATCCAAGCTGATATTAATTCTCCTCTCGGAGATCTCCAAACTCTTACAGGTGTAGACTATCCAGGCACATCCAACAGGTAGATTGTGATCTACCGGTAGATCATTGGACATCTGTGGTAGATCACTGATAGATCACTGGCTCCCCCCAAAGACTCAACAAGTTTGGCTCCCCTAAAAAAGCTCAACAACTTCTTTGACCTGAACCCCCAAAAAGGAGGTAGATCACAGCCAGTCTTTAACTCTGTGAGTAGATCGTAGTCTCTTGGGAGTTGGCCACCCCTGGACTATGCTCACATTTCAAGAGTAGGAAACCTATGGCCCTCCAGATAAAACTGTCATCCATGACCTTTGACCATTCTGGCTGGGTGGGGCTGATGGGAGCTGGTCCAATAGCATCTGGAGGGCTACAGGTTTCCCATCCCTGATTTCATGCCAAGTGCTTTAGGGCAGCAATGGGGAAGGTGCGTTCCTCCCGATGTTTTGGCCTCTATCTCCCATCAGCCACAGCTAGCATGACCAACTGTCAGCGACGGTGAGAGCTGTAGTCCAAGAACATCTGGAGGACCCCAAGTTCCTCATTGCTGGCATAATGTCTGAGTTTTTAAAGTACATGGATAAGTCTGCAATCCTATATACACATACCTGGGAGCAAGTTCCTCTAAACTCAGTGGCAATTACTTGAGAGTAGATACGCATAGAATTGCATTGCACAAAGTGTCTGTTTGTTTTCTAAATATTTGCTTCTCATCTCTCTTAAACATTTTATCTCTTCAAAATACTTGTAGACTGCTCTGCTCTCTTTACAGCTGGTTTAAAACAAATTTCATCACTTAATTGTGGTTTGTCTTTGAATATCTTGAGTGTTAATATTTAGTTCATAAGTAAGCTAGCATAGAATAAGCATGCAGTGTTGTTTAGTTTCTGGGAAAATTAAGTCATTTGTATCATCCTATCTCCCCATACGCTACCATGGTCCAATTACAGACTCATTGAAAATGAAGTCAGCAGTTCAGAATCTAAAGCTTAATATAACATTTGTCGAGCACAAATATTTAATGTACAAAATATTGAAGTTCCTCTTACAGTTATTATCAAAGAAGTGCTAATCATGATCATTCTTAATTTTATTGATCAAAATAAAGATGTGCAAATTATATCTCAGGACAGTATAATTATATAATTGAATTGAACAGATACTAAAAACATTATTGTTGTATCATGTGTGTATTTATATGAACAAGTCTAGTTATAATTGAATTCCCCCCCCCTTTTTCCTTTCGCCCAGCCTGTCCAGATTTTACCATGGACAAGTAGAGAATTGAGAATGTGGTTTGGGGCTGAAGGCATGTCGCTGAATTAACACTTGAACCAGACCAAACATCATGATCACAATCTAAGCACAGCTTTGCATTTTTATATCCCACTGATTGCAATGACTTAGTTATGCACATGCTTAACTGCCTCCTACTGAAATCAAAACTGCTTAACATGTGTATGCATTGAACCGTATGGTTTTTAAGGGGTACAGGCACGCTAAAACATGTAACACAAATGCATCATGTGGATCTGTTTTTTAAAAAGCACCTTGATGCATGTGCAACTGGCAAAAACTGCTTGTGCATTCCTTAGCCATAGATAACCTGAAAAGTTTCTTGTTTTCTAGCATTGTTTTATGTCCTGTAAGTCAAAGCTTTCTGAGTTTATTCAAGTCTGGTTCCTTTTTGCAGTGCACCTGAACAGCACAGAACAAAATCTGACTGTGTCCCAGATTCCGTATCCTGACACATGGTATGTGTTTTATGTTGACAAGTTTACCTGTGCGGTGAATTATGAGGACTCTGAATCCGAGGAAGTTCAATTTGAAATGGTGTTACTAAATCCAGATGCGGAAGGGAATCCTTTAGATCACTTTAGCGCAGGGGAATCAGGTAAGATGTTTCTTCTGGACTTTGGAGGAAATTGGTTGGGGAAGTGACAGGCAAAAATAACCCATTAAATTGTATACATAGATGTTGCTATCCAGTTATCTATAGGATGAGGGAAACATACTTGCTTGGGAAAAGTATAGGATTAGTCATATAACAATGACTTTGAAGTGTCTGATAACTTTAATTTGCCCTAATAGATTAGTGTTCACCCACTTTTTTATTCCATTTTTTTCACAATCCAGGACAATTAGTTCCATTTTTGGTGCATTCTAATTGTGATGTCTCAGAAGATACAGTAACAAATTAATAGAATCAACCACTTCAATTTTATTATTACATAATTAACATTAGTTGCTAATATATATATGGCACTTTAGTTCTGACTGCAATCACAGCTTTAAAGAAAGTTATTTGCGGTTCATTGAATGGGCTAAGAATTTACAATGTAACAGAGATAAATGACTACTTCTTACACAGCAAAAAAAAAAAAAATCCAGACAAGTATAAAAGGAAAATAAAATATTGAGAAATTCAGGGACCAGGTTTCTTTAATTCATCTTCATGTTACACACCATAGAACATGAATATCATTCATTCAAAACTGGAAATAAGTGCATTGTGGACTGGTTATGCCTTTTAAATGTTGCAGCAATGACATCTAGTGGTAAGATGAATGTTTCACACATCTGTTGCACGGCCTCTCAAACGTTGGCATAGTAAAATCTCGGTGAGTCAATTGTGTCCGCAAGTCTAAAGCAAAAGTGGAAGCTTCTTTGTTCCATATGAAAAAGTGGTGTTTGCAGCGTATCCAGCATTATATTTGAAGAGAAATGTACGTCTGCCAACAGACGCCTGAGAACCTCCTCTTCAAACACTGCGATCGCTATCAATATTTGCATCAAACATGCTGCAAACATCTCTTTTTGGTATTGTGAGGGAAAATAGAGATATGAGTGCATGGGAAGCACTTTTTATAGTGCAAACCTCTACATGTTTACGCAGAAGTAAATCCCATTAATTCAGTGACGCTTTCAAGCTAGGGTTCACAGAAGCACACCCTTGGGAAGCAAAAATGTTTTGTGTGTGAAACGTGGCTTTGACGCTCATTCACAATGGATGTGGCATTAGCTGGGAGTGACTGACATGCATATACTACTATCCTGGCATTTACTATACTTCTGTATGTGCTGTGCTTGAAACATTTCAGTCACTTAGTGTTTGTCAACTGCTTTAGCAAAAGACATTACAACAGTAACAGTAACAAAGAAGTCTTCGTATAAACAGATTTGTTGAGTTGAGAGCACTGTTCACAAATGCCATATCCTCAAGGCAAACGTATAATGTTTGTATTGCAAAGTCAGCTGTATTCCATGACTGCAAAGAGGAGCTACATTTACCCAAAGGCTAGATTCTTGTCACTAAGCACAGTAAGTTTCAGACACTTCTGACAAGGCACGTGTGTTTGCATATATACTTTGTAATTTCAACAGAGACGGTTGCCGGCTTAGTAAAAATAAAGTAGGCTGCAAATTATTTCTGTTATTAGACAGAAACAAGAAAATCCAACATCTGTCCCCAAGGTTTGTAAGCAATATTCATAGTACCAGCATCAAACTGGAAATACTGGTGTTATAGTTAACAGTTATTTTAAAATCTATTAAGTTATTTTGGTGAAGGAACAAAATATTCTTTGGTCACATCTTAATTGGTTCTTTGAAATAAATTGGTTGCAATGTCTTGAAAGGTAGCACACGACAACATAGGTTAGGGCATATCAGCATAAATGTATTGCATTATGTTTTTAGATGCAGCCTATCCTGGGACCTGGGACAGGTAACAAACATAATTAATGACAAGATTCCAGCATTTCCAGTGTCGTTATGCTGGTATTGTGAGTATAAATACGAGCCCAGTATTTACAATCTGCTGGGGCAGTAGTTGTAGTTTCCTGCTTCTATTTATTAATAGAAAAAATTTCCAGCTTTAAAAAAAAACAAACTAAGCTAGCAATTATCTGTTCAAATTACTCAGTATATAGGCATATATTAATAATAACCCTTCTTTGGAGCAACGTACTGCAGGGACCACTTTTCCCCCCTGTTCAATAGACTCATCTCTGCACATCAGAGATGAGTCGTTTTCTGTAGTACCCTTACTGGGTGAAACCCTTTTGAGTTTCCCTTTGAGACTTCTGTTCTTAATTTAAATTTTATCTGGTCAGGTTGCTACTGTGTTTTGTCATTATTTTAGCTCTGGTATTTTTTTGTTTTTTTAAGGGTTGGGCATTAAATATCAAAGTAAAGAAATGTTATGTAAGGTACTTCTTCTCTTTGCAGGCCTCCATGAGTTCTTCTTCCTGCTTGTTCTGGCATACTTCGTCGCTGCTTGCATATACGCTCAGACATTGTGGCAGACGATTAAAAAAGCAGGGCCTATGCACACTGTGTTAAAAGTTCTGTCGACTGTTCTGCTCTTGCAAGCCGCTTCCGCTTTTGCTAACTACCTACATTTTTCAAGGTAAATTTAAACCCTCCGCCTTTGGGCATACGAAGCTGCCATACCAAGTAACATCATTGGTCTTCCACATCTAGTGCTGCCTGTGTCAGGGATGGGGAACTTGTGGCTCTCCAGATATTGTTTGACAGTGATCACCCCTGATCATTGGTGATTCTGCCTGGAGCAAATGCGGGGTGGAGTCCAAGATCTAGAGGGCTACAGGTCCCCCAACCCTGGTCTTGCTTTGGTAGTGACCTTCCCAGGTTTCAAGAAGGAATTTGCATTGTCAAATTGGTCAGAATTTCTTTTATTTGGAAAAGTCGCTGCTTCAATGGCAGCTCTTGAGGCAGTTTGCTGTGGGTCTCAATCATGCCGTGTATCTGTGCTTGATCTTGGAGTTCCAGCCACTCCCTCCGAAGCTTTGGCAGCTCCTAGAAAGCATCCTTTGACACTGCTGGACCCTTTAGAATTCAAACTTTTCCTTTCGACTTTTTTGAGAAGGTGCTTTGCCAGTGCTCCCTTCCCATTTCCTCACGGCAATCTGAATGGCCTCCGTTGCCCACAGTTGACCCAGAAGTCATTCCTACCCATGTTCCTTTGTTCCCTTCAGATTGAATCCGAAATGTTCTTTCTGCAAATCACCACACAAGGGTGGTAGAGCAAAATGCAGGGTGCTGGTCTGCCCCAGCACAGGGGAACAGCAGGTTTCGAACTCGCAGGCACACTGATACAATTACCTGAACAACTGTGCAAAGGTAGGCTACATGTATCTTAGGGCAGCTCCCTGCTTTGCACAATAAATGTTTTTGCTACATATACTGCAATACACACTGCTGTTTCCTAGAACAGCGTAAAAGACATACAAACATGTAAATGTACGTTGGAACCCGGACTCACCAGAGTCTCCATATGCATTCACAGGTGTGAATGTTTTCCACACTTTACGTAATACATATTTGCTGCAGGAAACACTGGTGTGTGGGTGTGCAGGAAACACATCTATCTCCTAATATTTACACCATCCCCAGTAGATGATCATCCACTGTTCTCTGTACCAAAGAGTGAGATAGGAAATAACCATTTAGCAGAACTCATTTAGGTTTTGTAGTAGGGAATACAATTCAGTGCTGAAAACAGGTGAAGAAACAAACTGTTGTCACTTTCCACTATAAAGCCTAAATATGCTGTTCTAAAGGTGTTTTTCCACCTTAATTTTATTTTCTTGTAATTAAACATGTATGCTTCAGCTTCCTTTCAACTCAGATGTATTGATCAATTGTCATTATTGTTGGTTCCTCTAGATTTGCTGCATTTAAACGTAACTGAGGCCTACTACTCTGGAGGGGATGCGGGTGGCGCTGTGGGTTAAACCACAGAACCTAGGGCTTGCTGATCAGAAGGTCGGCGGTTCGAATCCCCGTGACGGGATGAGCTCCCGTTGCTCGGTCCCTGCTCCTGCCAACCTAGCAGTTTGAAAGCACGTCAAAGTGCAAGTAGGTAAATAGGTACAGCTCTGGCGGGAAGGTAAACGGCATTTCCGTGCGCTGCTCTGGTTCGCCAGAAGCGGCTTAGTCATGCTGGCCACGTGACCCGGAAGCTGTACGCCGGCTCCCTCAGCCAGTAAAGCGAGATGAGCACCGCAACCCCAGAGCCGGCCACGACTGGACCTAACGGTCAGGGGTCCCTTTACCTTTTTACCACTCCGGAACAGAATAGTATTGACATTTTGTTTCAGTATTTCCCCTTTATGTAAAAAGAGTTACATGAATTCAATCAAGTGCATTTTCTCTCTCTCTCTCTCTATATATGTATTGCTCTTTTGCCCTCCAATTAAAAAACACTTTAAAAAGTAAGTAAATAAAAGCTTTTAAGTTTTTGAAAGTCCTCTTCTGCTGCACTTCCACAAAAAACAACCGCCAGCTTTTCAGTGTTCTGCAGGCAACGTTTTGGACAGCTCCACTTGTTGCAAAACTTGTGGACCTAAAGAAAAATAGGAAATACAGTGCAGAGAAAGGCCATTATGTGCAGCAGCTAATCCAACTCAGGAATGATGGGAGGTATTGGCATTGCATTTTGGGAGGCAGGAGGCCTCCAGATCAATCCAATTTGCATGCCACTGCGCACCGCTAGCGTAGCCTCTTCTGTTAAGAAGTCAAATCTGCTTCACAGAAATTCATATGAGAAAAGCAGAATTCTGGAGCTTCTGTGCGGAATGCAAAATAGTTATATGCTAGTAGATTTGCCCATTTCCTTTATTATTTACAAGCTGGAGGCAAACCCAGCTGATTTTCATGTTATGTATTCTTAAAGCTTTTACAAACTTATTTCCTTTTTTTTTAATATCCAAAAATAGTATTAGTGGTGGTTGTGTTTATGCTTTTATGATGCGTATTTCTTTAGTATAGGCTTATTTATCAAGCTGGTTTTCCTTTTTAGTTACTCTAAAAATGGAGTAGGAGCACCTTTTATGGGAAGCCTTGCAGAGTGTAAGTACATCTTGCTTTCTTTGAGCTGGTCACAAATGAGGACATTGGTTTTAGGGAAGCACGTTATCTGGATGTTCATATATCTTGTATTACATGAAATGCTGAGTCTGTTGGAAAGTTAGAGTGGTTTAAAATATTAGATAAAAAATTTAAGCCACACCTAGAAACCTGTCCTTGAACAGAGTTGCAATTCCCAGCTGCGACTGAAGGAGCCCCTGCAGCAAATGGGGTTCTTTACCCTTATTTATTAAAAATAGTTACGCTTTTTAGAACAGTGTTAGAGTCCACTCAAGCATTCTGCTCAAAGCTAAGCCCCATGAAATCAGTAAAACTTCATTCATATAAGTCAATATAGGATTGCAGCTTAACTACAAGTTAAATCGCTTCAGCTAAACAAATTTCATTTCCCCCCTTAGGGTGTTCCAGGCAGACAGTTTCTTGTGCAAATATTCCTGTAAAGACGTGGCACAGGTTAGACCCCACTCTGTGATTTGCCACTGCTCCTTTCCTCACTTCCAGTTTCTTTCTCTTGCTTCCTCACAAAAGAGGTGTGCATTTTCCCCAGATGTTGTAGACTCAAGTCTCCATACAGTCATGCACGCCTTTGCTAAATTTCTTGCAGCAAAAGCTAAACCTGAAACCTACTATTTCAAGATATGCCAACACGACTCCACCCTTACATGTGCTGATTTTAATTTAATTTAATTTAATTTTTCTTCTAGCATATTGCATAAAATCTGTTGGGTACAATTTTTACAATACTGTGCTGTTTCCTGGGCTCTTGTACTTCCAGGAGGACTGTACAGTGTTAATTGGAGCAGCCAATGCTTTTGTTGCGGCGAAACTTACTTAATTGCAAACCAGTGTATCTCCTGCAAGTGCCAAGGAAAAAAACACATTTCTGTCCCTAGCTATTGCAACTGTTGACCTTCAGTGTACAAAAGGTGACTGTGTTGCTGTTGTGTGGCAAATACAATGGTACCTTGGTTCTCAAACTTAATCCGTTCTGAAAGTCCGTTCCAAAACCAAAGCGTTCCAAAACCAAGGCGCACTTTTCCATAGAAAGTAATGCAAAATGGATTAGTCCATTCCAGACTTTTAAAAGCAACCCCTAAAACAGCAATTTATCATGAATTTTACTATCTAACAAGACCATTGATCCATAAAATGAAAGCAATAATCAATGTACTGTACTATTAAATAAGACAGTATTGTAGATGATAAAAAAAAAGTTTTAAAAAAATTTCTTACCTGCACTGATGATAGTCATTGTTTGGATGGGGGGCTTTTATCCTTTACCACAGTCGCACAACCAATCAGTAGCTGAACAGGGTTCCACACAGTCACAAAAACAAATGAACCAAAAAAGCCTCAAAAACAAAAACGCAAAATAAATGGCAGAAACAAAAGCACCAAACTTAATCTGTTCCGAAAGTCCATTTGACTTTTGAAAGGTTCAAAAACCAAGGCACAGCTTCTGATTGGTGCAGGTGCCCCAGAAACAATAGCCGACAACCACATCGGACGTTCGGCTTCTGAAAAACGTTCGAAAACCGGAACACTTACTTCTGGGTTTTCGGCATTTGGGAACCCAAGGCGTTTGAGAACCAAGGCATTTGAGAACCAAGGCGTTTGAGAACCAAGGCATTTGAGAACCAAGGTACCACTGTGCTGGATGCATCCGGTGACGTAGACCTTTTTTTTTTTTTAAGATACTTTTCTGGACACCTACAGAACAGCTCTGGATAGATGACGTGTACAGACTCTCAAGAGGGAGGGGAAAAACATAAGCATGAAATCATGGTCCTCCTTCATCTTGTCCCCTCTCATTTCAGAAATATTTTTATGGCATTTTCCTTCTTCCTTGTGCGTTCCATATATCTGATTCTGGTTTAAGCGTTCCAAAAATACGTTTAAAAGCCATGCAAGGCTGTCGCTGCACACTGTCCATGATGTGGTTGCAGTGACAACCACAGTAAAGCTCTGGACCAGCCTTCCCTAACATCATGGCCAGTTGTTGGGGGTGATGAAGATCTTGCGTCCTGAGGTTGGGGAAGTCTGGTCCAGATTATGAAAATTGCATTCCTCCACTAGAGGACATTGTGTACAGCAGAGGCTCTAAATACTGAGGAAAAAGCCGATGTATACAGGAAGCTTCATATTGGAACACCAGTGGACAAAATTTTAATGAATTTGTACTCCAAGAGTGCTGGTCAGTATGCATGCTATTTATCTAGGCTAGATCATCCCGCTAGTTATATTGAAGTGTTTACAACAGTGTTAATTGACCTCTTATGTATGTTTTGCAGAAGTAAAGCCGTACAACAGGCCATTTTATACAGAGATTTTTCTTGGTGGCGTAATTCAGACAATTCAATTATATTAATGTTCTTCCCCTTAGTGTGTGACATAATCTCTCAGGTGCAGATGCTCTATCTGTTGCTCAGTTTGTGCATGGGATGGACAATAGGGAGAATGAAGAAATCTCAGAGTAAACCTCTCCAGTGGGATTCCACTCCAACATCCACAGCCATTGCAATAGCTGTCGTGGTAACACAGGTCTGTTTTCGCGCTGGGTGTTTGATTTACTGTGGAAGTGCTTTGGGGGGTAATTAAGAAACATTAATAAGCATATGATGTGGTAATGATCCTGCATGAAGAGAAGAGGCTGTCTGTACTGATGTTCCTTTGAGAATGTTGTGAAAGGGTCTCCAACCCGAAAGACTGCAAATGCTGCTGTCGATGGTAGTGATACAGATGATTGAAAAACTCTTCAGGAGATCTCTTGCAGAGGATTTAATGTAATACCTAGCTCCTGAAAAAGTAGCAGCCCCGAGTACCTGGTTGTACATTTTCTAAATCCTCACTGATGGCTAGGTATTTCCAGGGTCACTCAGAGTCTCTCCTTTAGCTACACTGATACACTGTCCAAAGTGTGAAATGGGAAGTCCCTCATTCAAATCTGCTCTTAATCATGAACTTCCTTTGCTGTCTTAAGCCAGGGGAAGCCAGCCTGCCCCCCTCACCCACCCAAATGTTGTTGGACTAAAATCCTCATCAGCTCCTGACCAGTCGCATGGCAAATGGTCAGAGATGGTGGAATTTGTAGCCCAGTGTCTAGAGGGCACCAAGTTTGCCACCGCTGCCACAGGCAAACTGTTTTTCTCTTCATACCAGCATTGGCTTACTAGTTGCCAAAGTACAGTGGATACGAATTAAATTTGTTCCTGGGATCCGTCCACAACCCGAAATGTCCGTAGGCAGAGGCGCTGCTTCTGCGTGCGGTGAAACCCAGAAGTATACACTTCCGGGTTTGCTGCGTTCGTAACCCGAAAGTTGCGTATCCAGAGCGGTATGTAGCTAGAGGGTCGACTGTAATTGATCTGCCACCGTCCCCCACCCCCCAGCAACTCTACCAAATTCAAATAAAGATTTGGTAACTATTTTGTCCACCTCATCACAAGAAAGGAAAAGGCCAATGTTCTCAAAAGCTGTGAGGAAAATTTCACATGTGAATGTTTCATGTCTTTTGGGGGGTGAGGGGAAGGTATGCAATGTTCCAACTGATCAGTTACCCAAAGATTTCATGAGAGCCTATAGACGGGATTCTTTTCTTTCTCATTTTTGGCAAAATATACTTCTTGGACTATTGTCTAGAGCAGTGGTGAACAAACTCTTTTCTTTCAAGGGCTTCACACCCTTAGGGTAATCTGTGGGAGACCGCATATTGGCACCAAAGGTGGATGGAACTGCTTCTCTTTTATTCCTCTTTTTACCACCCCGTTCTCTCCCTTTAACTCCCTGGTTTTCCCTTGTTACCTGTATGAACTCAGGGTGCCATGGGATTAGGACTTGATTTATCCACCCCTGATCTAGAGAATGAAGACATATGTCTCCGAGCATTCATTCATTCGTTGGCCTTCTGTGCTTCATATATTGATGGGCATTCAGCAGAAAAAAACAGTTCTCACCTCTCAGACATATGCCTCTGAGAACCCCATTACAACATGTGGCCCTGAGCTGGTACATGTATTATATGCGCACCAGCCATGATAAGTGTTGTCTGCCATTTATTTTTTACTGTGATCTCTCTCTCTCTCTCTCTCTCTCTCTCTCTCTCACACACACACACACACACACACACACACACAGGTACCGTATTTTTCCATCTTATAGACGCCCCCATGTATAAGATGTCCCCTATTTTGATAATATTTTTTAGGAAAAAAGCCTAGTCTTATACAGGGGAAAATACGGAATATTGAAAGATTATATTACTTTTTAAACAAACAAGCTAAATGGGCACAGGTGAAAGGTTTCCTTCTCTGACATACTTCTAATTATTTCTAAACCAATGCTTGTTTATTTCTTCTCCCAAGGCTAAAAAGCCCACTCACAGAGTTCTCTTGGCAAGTGCCTGTCACACCTCATAGAAGCCTGCATGGTGTTGTCAACAGAAGGAATCTGCCACTGAATTGGGACCCCATAATTGAAGCAAAATTATCCACATCAGTCCCAAACAGAGTCCTTGAACTTTTGTCCACCCCTGACCACCTCACATCCTAAAAAGATTGTATTAAAAAACAAAATTGCTGACTAGAATCTCAGTTTTATTGAAGAGGGCTTCAGTGAATTGTACTCTTTTTGTTCCTCCTTCCTCTCTCCCCACTGCCTAGACTAACAATGTGGGGCCATCATATATTGTTTTTATACTGTACAAAGTTATATGAAAAAAGATCCATCTGGACACTATCTTCTAATTGTGTTCCTTGTTCTTTTGCAGGGCATTTTGCTAATTTGGGAACAGTTTGAGGATACAAATCATCACAGCTACCACTCACACCAAAGTTTAGCAGGCGGGCTTCTCATTGGCTTGAGAATTTGCCTAGCTCTGTCGCTTGGCTGTGGACTTTACCAGATCATCCGAATTGAGAGAAGCACACTGAAAAGAGAATTCTATATCACCTTCACAAAAGTATGTGCATCATATAGAAACTCAGTGTATTCTTCCAGAGCGCTATTGAGTGCAGTGTCTAGTTTGGAGGAAAATAAAACAGTGCAATCTCATATGTACTTACAAATGTTTCATTGTGTTTAATGGAGCTTATTTCCAAGTTATTGTGTACAGGATTGTAATTTGAGGCTACAATCCTATGCACACTTACATGGAAGTAAACCCCATGGAACACAGTGAGACTTCACTTCTGAGTACATACATACATACATACCGTATTTTTCGCCCTATAGGACGCACTTTTTCCCCTCCAAAAATGAAGGGGAAATGTGTGTGCATCCTATGGGGTGAATGCAGGCTTTCACTGAAGCCTGGAGAGTGAGAGGGGTCGGTGCACACCGACCCCTCTCGCTTTCCAGGCTTCAGGAAGCTATCTGCAAGCCTGGGGAGACTGGTGGGAGTTCCTGCCGGGCTCCCAAGGCTTGCAGATAGCAGCCTGTTCTGGGGGCTGGGGTCAGGGGAAACTCGGGCACCCCCCGCCCCAGCCCTGCGCCTGGGGGGGAAATAATTTTTTTCCCTTTATTCCCCCCTCCCCCCCAAAAAAACTAGGTGCGCCCTATGGGCCGGTGCGACCTATAGGGCGAAAAATACGGTACATACATAGGGTTTGGTTAAGCAAGGTATGATGTTATACATCAAGACTCTCATAATGTTCTATGGTTTGATGCAGAAGAGCACTTGGTAAGTTACAGAACGTATTTTAACGTGTGAAATGAAAATGAAAATATGTAACTAGAGATCTGTTAATGGACAGAGTGACTTTTAGTACTGACAGATGATGATGATGATTATAACTTTCCTAAACAGGGCTGCCTTTAGGTGTCTTCTAAAGTCAGATAGTTGTTTATGTCCTTGACATCTGATGGAAGGGCGTTCCACAGGGTGGGTACCACTACCACTAAGGCCCTCTGCCTGGTTCCCTGTAACCTCACTTCTCGCAGTGAGGGAACCGCCAGAAGGCCCTCAGAGAAGGACCTCAGTGTCCGGGCTGAACGATGGAGGTGGAGATGCTCCTTAGCTGATAGTGGTCTTTCTTCTTCTTTCAGGGCTGTCTTCTGTGGTTTTTGTGTCACCCAAGTCTTGTATCCATATCTCTAATGTTAAGAGATTACCAGCGAGAGAAGGTAGGTAGATACAGCATAATAAAACTTGAGTCAGTTACCGAATGAAGGCTTAATTGTATGCAAGACTTTGGATTGTTAAACTCTTGATAAGTAATGGGAATTTCTGAATCTATTTTTTTCCCTGTAGCCCACTTCAATCATTCCACATGAAGAAGCAACATGTATAGAGGGGAGTTGTGGGACCCCCCTCCCTTCCCCTAGCATATCAAGTTCCCCTGGCCCCACCAGTCATGTATTAGTGTGGATGCTTGAGGCAGGGAAATCTGTGCATGTTGACTTCCTCATATCCTGGAACTCTAATTGTGCAAGTTCCAGGAAAGCCTGAAAAACGTGAATGGCGGGGCCAGAGGGAACTGCACAGTCCCTTGCTACCCGTGTTGCCCCTTCATGTGTGTAATGTATGCAGGCAGCTTTAGAATTGTGACGTTAAGAGATCCCATGAAATACTACATGAAATTGTGTTTTAAGAGATCTGGCGATTCCCAAGGTGAACTTCTAAACTTGAATTCCTGAGTAGGTCCAGTAAATTTCAGGTGAATATTTTGTTCTTTCTACAAAGCTCTCTTCTTTGTTCTCTTTTCCTTTCATATTTCAGGTCATTACCGTAGGCGTCATCCTCTGCCAGTTGTTCTCCATGGTCCTCCTGTACCGACTCTTTGTTTCCCATAGTCTGTACTGGGAAGTGTCCTCCCTCTCTTCAGTAACACTGCCACTTACTGTAGCATCTGGACATAAAAGTCGGCATCATTTCTGAGATGCATCTGGGAGATCCGTTGACAAATGTGCAATAAAGACTTGGAAATGTGCAGCTATTTTCAGCAGTGAATCCACCACAGAGGATCTTTGGGAGAAACGAAACAATCAAAATACAGAATTACACTGCTGCAGGAGCTGAACGAGTGCAGGTATGAGGCAGATTTTCTCAAAAATTGTGAGAAAGCATCTTGGATGAAGTCAAAGAAAATTCTTAACCTCGGTGTTTTCATTTAAAAACTGCCTCATCTTATGTTGGAACTAGATCCAAATTGTCATAACTACAAGCATAAATGGATCACATAGACCACTTTTGGAATTAAAATAATATATTGGTTTAAAGTTGCTTTGAAACAGTGCAAATTGTGCAAAAGTTTAAAAGGACTTGAAAATTGTAATAGGTCCAGGAAACCAGTGTAAAATGTTTACAGCAAACTGTAGCACTCATTATTTGTGTTTTTGAAAACGAAAAGAAAAAACACTTCCTTGCCTTGAGATTTGGATGCAGTTCAGATTTCAGCTTGATTACCAATTGCTTTTTACACACCATGTTTGTGACAAATGTTACAAGAGCATAAGGGTGATGGACTAACTTGAGTTCTGCTTTTTAAAAAACAAAAACTTGGCATTGTTAAGGTTATAAAAACAGCAGGCTAGCATCTCCTAAACTTGGGGGGGGGGGGGGTATGCGATGCAGCACTAGAATTTTAATCCTGATATAATTCATTACTCTTACATTGAGGATTCAATCATAATTAAGCCATATTCACAGATTAAATTAACAGAAGCATTTCAAATAAATGTTAGTTTCAGTCATCAACTACCCATGAATTCCTGCCCAAGGATACTTAATCAGGATTAAATTTTCTATGAATAATTGAAAAACAAAATACTCACTGGATTTGTTATAATCCATGTTGGCAGTGGGTTCTAAGTAGTTGCCATCTCCCACCCATTGTAGAAGAAGCACACTTTGAAATGATTCCTAGCATTCAGACTGCCATTGTAAATATATACTCTTGTTGAAGTGCCTATTTATTGCTCAAGACTGAAATAATTTGAATGACTTTTGCTATATAAAATAAACATTCCTGTTAAGTAATTTCTGTGCTGTTGTGTGCTATTAAATCATGCTTGTAAACTGGTGTCTCGGAGGAAATGTGAAGCTGGTTTTATAATACGCTTCAGTTTTTTTCTGAGTTCCAGACACAAGGCTGTGTTTGTACCATCATCAGAAGCCAGCCATGAAAGCTGATTGATTCATGCTTATTTACTCTTCCTACTTGCTCCAAGGCAATACTCGCACTGTGTTGAGCCAACTGCCAGAAGAAAGGAAGAGAAGGCCATACAAAACTAATGCTTCCCACTTATCCCCTTCCCCACTCTCTTTCCCCCTTCACACCAGGATTAGCAGCAGTGGGGAATACAACTATGGCAGACTTATCCTCAAAGAACTTGGTCAGGAGCGTACGGAGAGAGCGTCAGGGGAGCCTGAGGCGGCAATCCTGATACAGTACAAGCTTGAACATAATTTTAGGAATGCAGCCTTTAAAATCAGACAGTCTAGTCTTCAAAAGCACTGCTTCAGCACAAGCCTTACTAAAGTTAATAGAGCTTCCAGTTACAAACCGCTTTGAGATTCAGTCTCGGGATTTCATTTAAGTTTATAGGTGCCACATTTTTGCCTCTGACTAAGGCAAATGGCAACATGACAAAGTTGTTCATTAAACAGATTCACTCGTTACTCTTTGTAATTCAGGACAAGAACGGCAGGTTGAGGCTGGAAAGACTGAAATCGTAGACTTTCATGCCATCAGCAGAACGACTGCAACGTTAATTTTTGCATTTCTCTGGTAGCCACATCAAAATGTTGTCGGCTTAAATTGTGTTTATCTCTGTGCTCATATTCAGAATAGAAAAGGTGGGTTTTGGCACAAACTTTTAATAATACAAGAGAACATATATCTGGGTTTCCTCTCACGCAAAATGCACACAAGGCTTGCACCATGAGAGCCAGTGTGGTGTAGTGGTTAAGAGCGGTGGACTCGTAAACTGGTGAACTGGGTTCGCGTCTCCGCTCCTCCACATGCAGCTGCTGGGTGACCTTGGGCCAGTCACACTTCTTTGAAGTCTCTCAGCCCCACTCACCTCACAGAGTGTTTGTTGTGGGAGAGGAAGGGAAAGGAGAATGTTAGCCGCTTTGAGACTCCTGAAGGGGAGTGAAAGGCGGGATATCAAATCCAAACTCCTCCTCTTCTTCTTCAAGAGTTGTCATCTTGTGTGATAAAAGTTGCATTTGGTCAGAAAAAATGCATGAAACTCTGATACTTCAATTCTCATATTAATTGTGCAGTGTGATTTCTGCTTTCAGTAGTCCACGTGCCGGCAAGTTAGAGATTGGATTATTTTAACAGCAGGCGGTTGCTACTCGTAAAGTGGAGTCCAGGAGTTGAAGTTAGGGGAAAATGTAAGGATTGGGCTTCTGATGAATGGTCCACCATCAGCATGTTATCAGCATCCATCTGTCTCAAAAGTCAGTGGACTGTGCCTCTGGGTGCGAAGCCAAACCACTGGAGAATCGCAGTGCCTGCTGTGGCTGCAAAGACTCATAACTGCTGCATTCCACGTTGTTTTTGCTGCATTGGCAGCACCAAAGCCAGTGTCAGGGCAGACAGGCTCGCTGATGCGCTCAAAAGGAAAGCAGAGCAATATGCTTGGCTGCAGGAGTTGCCGGAAAGAGGCGTACAGGATGCCATTCAACCGTCTTAGGGACTCCACTCCAGATTTGTGTAGGGCTTACTCCTTAGCCTTTTCTTCCCCTTTTCTCACAAATGAGTATACAGTGGTACCTCAGGTTACATACGCTTCAGGCTACATACACTTCAGGTTACAGACTCCGCTAACCCAGAAATAGTGCTTCAGGTTAAGAACTTTGCTTCAGGATGAGAACAGAAATCATGCTCCGGCAGTGCGGCAGCAGCAGGAGGCCCCATTAGCTAAAGTGGTGCTTCAGGTTAAGAATAGTTTCAGGTTAAGTACGGACCTCCGGAACGAATTAAGTACTTAACCCGAGGTACCACTGTATCCGCAAAGCAGTGGAAGTTTACGATTCTCCTTCTCCTCGATGGGCTGCCTTCCCAGGTTGCCTCACTTCCCTCTACAGCATGTGCAGTAACTGTCTCCACCATTGGACTTGCTATTGGTCTTATCCACTCAATCTGCTTCACATGCAGTCTGCTTCACATGCAGAAGAAGTCCCTAATCCACCAAGGGTTTGAGACCTATTGGCTACCCTTGCCTGGTTTAGCCGACCAGTCGAAGCCGTTTCCCGGGGTGTGGCCACTGTTGAATTCTGACAGCTTCTAGAAGCCACAGGTTAGAGCTGGGTGCAGGGTGGAGTCCAAATGTGGGCAGACTACCCCAGAAGGAGCACCACATGTCCCCTACCAGAGGTACTACCCCCCCAACACCCCATACATGCCATACAGCAGCATATAGCACCATTGTTAATTGTCCACATACACCATTTCTATGAACCAATTGATAAGCAGTTGCTGTGAGCTGCATTGTTTTCTCTCCCCCCCCCCTTTGTTTTTCAGAAAGGGGTGTTCATCTGTGAAAGATTCTGCTTGAACTTCTCCAGACTGGATCCTACAGCTGTACTGCCATTTAAGGAAGTTTTGTTTCCACACTGGCCAGTCATTAACTCTAATCTTCGGCTGTGGCGCTTTTCCTCTACTAGCTATCTAGTTTTACCCTGTAGAAATTTGCTTCTTGGCAGTATGGCTCTTAAAAACAGTTATGTCCCTGTGAGTGCTATGGCCTTTGGTCCTTAAAATGGGTGTGCTCTGAAGTTCTCTGTTGTTTTACACATTGATTCAGCAGCCCATCTGTGGCTTTTGCCTCCCAGGTGGGTCATAAGGAAAGGGTTAAAATGAGTGTCATGTCATTGGCCAGTGGAAACTGATAGGAGGAGTTAGGGTTAGAGGGGGAGTTGTGTGAAAGCCAGTTGAGAGTTGGGAGTTGGAGAAGGAAGAGGGAGGAATAGTCTGTGGGTTGGTCGAGTTGTGAGTGAGAGGAATTCTTAGGTGGAGTCAGCTAGATAGTTGGAATAATCAGTTTAAAGTTGTTAGGAACGCATAGGACAGTTAAGGAACTAAGATTAAGAAACTGCCAAGAAAAATTAACTGAAACCATAAGCTTGTTCATGCCTTAAAATAAACTTGATTATTTGTTAACGTTAACAACTAACTGGACTCCGTGTGTACCCGTGAGGAGAAACGGGTTGGTGGCAGCGAAGAAAGCAATCACAGTGGTGGCACAGGGTCAACAGACCGTCAAACATCCGGGGGCCCTGTGTGATCGCCACACCATCCATCATTAGAATTCCAGCAACGGTGCAAGAGGGCAGCCTAGAGAACCAGCACAATCCTGCTTTGTGGCCCTTTGAGCAGCACCCAGTGGGCGTATATGGAGCTGTGGAAGCCTGTGCAAACATAGCCAACATAGTTAATAATTTAGAAAAGCTTCAGGATACAGAGAGGGTGCTCTCTCAGAAGCTAGTCGATCAACACATTGTTGGATTCTAGTTCATCCCATTTTTTGGTTTAAGAGTAAAAAAGAAAATCTTGCTATATCGTGCATTAGTGGAGAGGGCATTCTTTGGGTGTGTGGCTTTTTTAAAGGTCTTATAAATAGAATGGGAATAGGGGGGGAAATTAAGCAATCTATTGTTCTGCTAATATGCGCAATATTTCAAGTGATGCTAATGTAACAGACTCTGATTTTCTAAGTGAACAAGCCCTAATGGCAATAAAAGTAATCTCAGAACTGCAGGCAGCTTCTCTGACCCTTGTCTCATATTGTTAGATTCTATTATTAGGTTGCACCTCCCCTTAAACTGAGAGTGTAAGACACCATTTAGCGGCTAAGGCACCAGGGCACCATTTAGTTCTCTTTGCAGTTCTCCAAAAGGTATGGTCTTGAAAGATGATGGCCATTATCAATACCCATTTTGAATCGCTGATGCCCTGACTGACCTTCTCCATGCTCTGATTCACTCTCAGCCACGCATACATCCTACCGCTTGCCTTGATTTTTATGCTTTCCCTATTCATGCAATCACAGGCCCAGAAGGGGCCAGAATCCTAGCTTTAAAAAAAAAATTGGAAGAAGTTTCTAGCGCTTAAGGCGGTAAATGTGTGGGTGATGCTGGATAAAATGTTCTAATCTGAAGCAAGATTCAGAACTGGGTGGGGCAGGGGTGTGCTTGCTTATGGAGTCTGCACAGCTGTTCGCTCTCCCAGTGATTGTAAAGAGAAGAATAACACTGTACGGCAATAAATGCATGTCGGTTTGCTTGTTTTACTTAATTTGTACAAAAAATAATAAAGCACAGACTGATTTTATTTCATTTTCTTTAATAAACATATATATCACCTTTCAAAACTAAAAATCTTTGCAAGGTCCTTTACAACTCTTATCAAAACTATACCAAACCCGGCAATTGCATAGGATAATATAACACAGCATAACAGAACTATTAAACCCAGACCACAAGTACCAGAACTGCAACTGGGCCACAATTTGTTTCTGACGTACCAGCTTTCATGACAGCAAATTTAGTTCATTCGCTACATGAAGAGGACATGAAGTACATATACAGTGGTACCTCGGGTTACAAACTTAATTAGTTACTGAGGTCCGTTCTTAACCTGAAACCTTTCTTAACCTGAGGTACCACTTTAGCTAATGGGGCCTCCCGCTGCCGCCGCGCCGCCATCACACAATTTCTGTTCTCATCCTGGGGCAAAGTTCTTAACCTGAGATACTACTTCCAGGTTAGTGGAGTTTGTAACCCAAGGTGTTTGTAACCTGAGGTACCACTGTAGAAGAAGATTTCTGTTTCCCTTTAATATATAATATGACTTCTCAAGGTGTGTTGTTCCTGCAGCAAGGGCCCCTACCACCCTCATCTGCATAGGGTAAATTAGTACACATAATCTAGTTTATAATTTAATTGATAACTCTTGCTAAAATGTCTGATTCCCACTGTTCAGATTGACTGTTCCTGCTACTCACTGCTGGATGCTCCTTTCCA